ATCCAACACTGAGGCCGGGCTTGCGGATAGCCCACCAGATGGGTATAACCGCGGTCAAAGTCAGGAGCGATCCCAGCTCGTCGTCCTCCAAGTTCGCGGGGAATACGAAGCCAAGGAGGATGTCATGAAGAAATACCTGGCCAAGGTACGGGAGGTAATAGCCCTGTTCGACATTTTTGAAATCGAGCGGGTGCCGATATCCCAGAACAAGCGCGCGGACGCCCTGTCAAAGCTGGCGTCCTCATCATTTGCCCACCTGAGCAAGGAAGTCTTGGTAGAGGTGGTCAAGCAAAAGAGCATTGATCAGGTCCAGGTTTTGGCCATAGACAGCTCGGCCACCTGGATGACCTCCCTGATGAACTTCCTCAACTCGGGTGTCCTGCCCGGAGACAAAACGGAGGCTTACCGACTCCAGTTCAGAGCTGCTAAGTACGCCTACGCTGGAGGGACCCTCTACCGGAGGTCGTATCTGTCCCCCTGGCTAAAGTGCATGACTCCAGAGGAGGGCGACTACGTCCTTCGTGAAGTTCACGAGGGCTTATGTGCGGCCCATGTGGGGTCCCGAGTACTAGCCAAAAAGTGCCTTCTCCTGGGCTACTATTGGCCCTCAGTGTTCCAAGATGCCGCGGCCCTGGTTCAGAAGTGCCGAGCTTGCCAGGTGCACGCCCCACTGTGCCACCAGCCAGCCCGGAAAATGGTACCCATCCATAGCCCCTGGCCCTTCGCCCAGTGGGGGATAGATCTCCTGGATCCTTTCCCTCGAGCCCCGGGGAGATACGAGTATCTCGAGGTAGCCATCGACTACTTCACGAAATGGATGGAAGCGGAGCCTCTGGCCACTATCTCTGGGAGGCAATTCAGAATTTCTTCTGGAGAAACATAGTCTGCCGCTTCGGGATTCCGCGTGTCTTAATATCCGACAATGGGCGCCAGTTCGCCGAAAACCCCTTCAAGAGCTGGTGCGCAGAGCTCGGAATCAACCAGCACTTCACATCGGTCGGCCACCCCCAGGCCAACGGCTAGGTAGAAAATGTTAACCGAACCATTCTCCAAGGACTAAAGATTAGGTTGGAACTGGCCCAGTCTAACTGGCTAAACGAACTCCCTAGTGTCCTCTGGGCTTACCGCATTATGCCTAGGACAGCTACCCATGAGACCCCGTTCTCTCTGACTTACGGGGTAGAGGCGGTGGTACCCGCGGAGATCGGCCTCCCCTCGCCTCGGACACAGAACTTCGTTGCGTCATCCAACGAGGAAGAGCTGAGGTGCAACTTGGACATGTTGGAAGTCAAGCGTGAGGAGGCGGCGATAGGATGGCTAAGTACAAAAGCCAACTCGCTCGCTATCACAACGCAAAAGTAAGGAACTTGCTGTATCGACCGGGAGACCTCGTCTTAAGGAGAAACTCCATCAGCCGAGCTCACAGCTCCAACAAGCTCGACCCAAATTGGGAAGGACCATACAAGGTCCTCGAAACGAGCCTAGCTGGTTACTGCAAGCTCGCGAAAATGGATGGATCAGAGGTACCCCGCACTTGGCACTTCTCCAATCTGCGACTGTTTGTAGCGTAGGTTAGACTAGGGTGTTTGGCTGTCTGTGCTTTTGAATCTAAATTTCAATTTTATCATTCAATAAATGTTCGACTTTCAAGTTTTAAATTCATTGTGATCGTTTGCCTTTTAAGTTCGAATCCTACACTAGCACACTCAGCGCTCCCTCACTAAATGTCCTAATGGGGGGCTAGGGGGATGAATGATAATGGATGTGTGATGCCTTTAAAAGTGTGGGGGTAGTGTGGGAGTGCTCGACCCCAAGAGGTCGGCACAACTGAAAACTTTGAAGGAGTCGGAAAGTTTAACGCTCAGCCCAGGAGGTCAACCCCAAGAGGTCGACACGGGTTAAAGCTCCAAAGTGGAGGCTCGACCCCAAGAGATTGGCCCGGCTCCAAGCATTAAAATCTGAGGGTTCCGCATTCGACCTAGGAGGTCGGCATGAATACCTCTAAGGCTCGACTCAGGAGGTCGGCATGAACAGTTCTAAAGTATGGCGCTCGACCCGGGAGGTCGGCACGACGAGGAACAATGTGATGCAAGTTCAACGCTCGGCCCAGGAGGTTGGCGTGAATGCCTTCGAAGTGTAGGGCTCGACCCCTGGAGGTCGGCACGGCTCTAAGACCTTAGGACTTGGAAGTCCGATGATGCTCGACCCCAAGAGGTCGGCGCGGCGTGAACTATTTTGGGTTGGTTAGAATTCGGGAGTTCGACGCTCGACCCAGGAGGTCGGCATGAACACCTTCAAAATCGGACGTTCGACCCAGGAGGTCGGTAGAAATATCCTTAAAGTTTGGCGCTCAGCCTCAAGAGGCTAGCGCGTCCCCTTGATAGGTCTATTTGGTGCTCGACCTGGGTGTTCGGCACCAGGTTTTAATAATCTGATTGCCTTTGGCAATTTAGCTGTTGGATTAAAAAGGGGATATATACGGTGCTTGACCCAGGAGGTCGGCGCATGGCTTTAGTTGCTAAAGTTGGGCGCAGGCGAGAACTGCAAGGAAATTTCCTTCGAATTTTATATATGCATTCAAAGCCTATCTATTACAAAGTTTCTAAGTCGGTAGTCTTCTTCGAGTTTCATATATGCATTCGAAGCCTATCTATTACAAAGCCTACCGGGCTATAAGAGAAAGACAGTTCGGTCCCTGTTCTTCTTGCTGGCAGCCTGCTTCGAGCAGGGGCTGAAGGTACACCTTAAACATGTTGAGAGGAGTATGGTGAAGGCTATTCAAGGTAGCCGTATAGGCCCTAGGGCAGGGGACCTATCTATCTCGGATGGACCTTCAAGAGCATTTTCAACTAGAGCATAGTCACATCCTTATAAGAAGATGGAAAGGGTTTCTGGAGTGGTTGCTGCCCTAGGCTACCGGCCCCTTGCCGGGAGCTCTGCCGGGAGCCTCGTCCTCCTACAGGGGAACCTCCGCCAGATCGCCTCCCACATCACTCCTGCCTGCTAGCTCCTTCAGGGCATGCCCCTTGCAATACCCATCAAAGAGCCAGTCTACCATCTCCTCGGCGTTAGGGTTGTACTCCTTGAAAGCGGCCAAGTCGAAGCCAGGCAGGCCGAGCTCCTTGACCTTATCCAGGGCTCGCGTGAAGCCAATCTGGAGGATGGGCTCGTTGAGGAGGGCGACGTCCTCGGCAAACTGTTCGGAGGAGATGAACTCCCGAACAGCCTTCTTCCGCTCCCGGCTGACGGTGCCGGAGAGCTCGATGGCGTGGTCTTCCTTTAGCTTGGCCACGCCGGCTTTCTCTTGGTCGAGCTCTGACCTAGCGGAGACGAGCTGGACCTGGGCCGTTTCCGGCCGTTTCCAGCCCTTTCTCGGCCTTGCCCAGCGTGGCATTAAGGGAGTCCGACTCCTTAAGGGCCTGGGTAAGCCTCTGCTCTGTTTCCCGATTCTTCTTTCGCAATTTCTCCAAATCGGGAGACAGCTCGGAGAAATGAATCGCCAGGGCAGCGCCAGCGGCGTTGGCCTGAGGAGGAAGGAAAACAGGTCAGTTCGTTACGCTACCTACCCCAAACACAGAGGCGTAACTGGCCCGAGGGCTGGAAAACTTACTTGAGCCTGGGCGGTGTAATACGCGTCCTGGAGCTCGGAGGGGCTGGCCAGCTCCATCCACCTCCTGTCGTGCGGGAGGACCGAGCCCGCAATCAGCTCGCTAGCCACCTCGGGAAACTGGGTTCGGTCGTTGATGGAAAGCCCCCAGGACGGACAGAAGTGGCGGGGGTCGTGCATAGTAGGGGACTGGCTCGGCTTCAGGGGGGCTATGTGGCAAAGTACCACAAGCTCGGGGGAGGCGACTCCCGAGCATGCTCCTTCGCGGAGCCAATGCCCAGGTGGTCTGGCCCTCCCGATGTCAGCGGGAGGGGAGGGGGCTGTGCTGGAACCAGTACGAGCTTCTTCCCGGGCTGGGAGGGCTCGTCCCCTCGACCCCTCTTCTGCTCGGTCGCCTTCTTCTTGTTGTTGGTGGCCTTTTTGGAGGGGGTGGAGGTGTCCTGCGCTTCCTTCTGGGAGGCTTGGCCGCCTCCCGAGGTTGGAGCCGCCCCAGGGGCTTCCTTGGCCGCCTCTGGCTGAGGGGTGGGGGTGACCTCTTCAGTGGACGCGCCCAGCAGTTTGGAAAGCCTCCTCACTGCGAAAAACATCGTTGGGTCAGCCAAAACAGGTCGGTAGGAAAACATATTACATGTATGAAATGCAACGAGCTACAGGGACAGAATCGGCATTACAGGCGTCGAGGTCGATAGGGGAGGCCATCACCTCGCCAGGGGTCCCGGACAACGTCCCCATTAGCCCAGTCGCAGAAATCTGCTTGCTGGAGAACGTTGCCGCGTGAAGCTTTACCCTAGAGCTCACCAGCTCGATGAGGATCTCGGAGTCCAGGTCCTCCGGGTAGGGATCGGTTTTGACCTCCCCGATCTTCCACACGGTGGCGTCAAAGCCGATGGATTTGACAAAGAAGAAGTCCCCTTTCCAGTTCTTGATGGAAGAGGGGAACTTGTAGAACAGGTCCTGGGTGCCCTTATCCCCCCGACCTTGGTTTCCGGTCCGGCGAGAGAAGTAATACCACCCAAGAAGGGAGAACTTGAGGATGTAAGCGGCTCGGAAGAGGGAGAGAGAGTAAGGGATGGAGCAAATTCGACAGTAAATCCGGAATCCTATGATGATCCTGATTGATTTGGGGTGAACCTGGGTGGTCTTGAGCCCCCAATAGCTCAAGATCTCAGCCAGGGCTGCAGGGATCGGTAGTCGGAGCCCCCCCGAGTAGCTGCTCCTTGTAGATGGCTACGAAACCAAGGGGAGGTCGGTTGGCTCGATCGCTGGGCCCGGCAGCCCTTGACTCGAAGGCTGGAGGGATGGAAAAGGACCTGACCATCTCGGCCACCTCCTCGGGTGAGATGGTGACCTCTTCGTGATCGGGGCGGCCGAAGTCGAGCTCGGCATCATCCTCCTACTCAGGGGCAGGAGCCCCCTCGGGGGAATCCCTATCCTCCCCAGCTCCTCCCTGGGCTCCGCCAGGGGAGTCATGGGGGGACTTGGGGGAAGGGGTGGAGTCGGCCTGTTGCTCGATATAGGCATCGAGCTCGACCGCCTCCTTTAGGTCCCAGGCTGAAGGAGAGTGGGCAGAGGGAGAGCTCATGATAGCAATGGGCTCAAGTAAGTCAGGAATGGGGAAGTAAGGATTAAAAGAAGAAGAAGAAGTGGGGGGAGAAGGACAAGGTGAGGAGGAAGACGAAGAAATGACAATCTGGGGGGCTCTACGCGGGGATGGGATCTGAGATGCGGTGGAAGTGACGCCGGAATGATCCGACATAAAAAGCAGAGAGTGCCTAAGGAGGAGGAAAAAGTGAAGGGGGAAGGGAAAAGACTTACTGATGACTGAAGCAGGAAAAAGATGAAGAAGTCGCCGGAATCTGGGCACAAAGAGCCGGAAGCCTCTTTACTGGAAAATCGAAATGCGCGAAGGAAGGAGAAAATGTCAAATAGAGTTGAGTGAAGTCTGATGACTCCCATTTATAGAGGGTGAAATGGGGGGAAAACGGTTGCTTGAATTTGAACCGTCCCATGTGAACGCATTTAATGAGGGTACGGGGACCGAAGGGATGCGACAACTGAAAGGACGTGGGCGCGGCTTCCCTATGACAGCACTGTACTGGAGGTGACCTTGGCAGAACAGTGCGCGGCGCTGGCCTCCCACGTGGCAAGGGTAGATTAGGTCTGCCTGACAGCCCTACCTAATCTAGAGGGCTAGTGCAGAGGCCCCGTCTTGGGCCTAGACACGTGGCAGCCCAGGTATGGCCGAGCTGGGCCTCGACCCCAGGACCCTGGCAACCGTCCTGAGCCGCGCCGCTGCTAGGGCTCCAGAATGGCCAGGGGACCATCCCGCAGAGGTCGGAGGAAATTCCCCTCGGCGCGGGATAAGGGCTATACCGGGCAAGTCCCGAAACGTACGGAGGTCGGACTCTCAGGAAGGTATAAATGGTAATGCACACCACTTACACAAGGTACGCTCACTATTGACATATTACCCCCGGTTGCTTTACTTCCCGTGAACTTCGTCTACCGGAGAACTAACTTGACCGTCGGAGTGCCCACGGGGACAACCTCGGGGCCCCCTTGTTAGACCACTCTCTTGGCTGTCTTGCAGGCTTGGAACCAGCTCTTCCCATCAGCACGCCGAGCTCATCAGCCCAGCTCGGTCTGGGGAAGCTCAGCGCTTCTCAGTGTGTATTGCTACCACATCAGAAACATCGTCGATTTTGCTCTTTCTTCCGACAGGTATCTTCCGTATGGTTAGTGGCCCCATAGACATCACATACTCTTCTAGTTTCGAACATCGATTCCCCATGTGAGACACCACTTTAGGGCCCTTTTCCTACCTGATCTTCCCTTATTTTACCTTGATTCGGAGTCCCCACTGGTCGTGTACCATCGGCTTCCTTACTCCTCTTACTAGGTGGCTGGCTTCCCGAGCTTTGTCTACCAGTGTAGGTATAGGTGTCAGATGGTGTTCTCTTCTTGTCATGGAAAGCTTTCACCTAACTCCTTGCGGTCTCTATTCTCTGTGCCTTTTCCAAAGTCTGGCTGAATGTATCCAATTGGGCAGCCGCCAGTGCCTCTCGTATTTCGACGTTTAACCCCTGGACAAACTGACGAATTCTCTTTCGGTCTGTTAGTACTAACTCTGGAGCAAAACGGGAGAGCTTGGTAAATTGTGTCTAGTACTCTGCCACATTTAACGGCCCTTGACGCAGGCGGATAGAGTCCTCTTCCCGCATTTCTTGAACAATCGGTGGCAAATACTTCTCGTTAAACTCACGGGTGAAATTGACCCAAGTCCAGGGGCTCTGCTCTCGTTCCCACTTATCCTTTATTACATTCCACCATGCTCAGGCTGGTCCCTCAAATTGGAAGACAACAAAAGATACTTGCCGTTCCTCTGGATACCCGAGCGCAGCGAATATATCCATCATGCGGTCCATCCATCCCTCAGCTAAGTCAGGGCTAGGTCCACCTATCAATTTCGGGGGTGCAAATTTTTGGTACCGTTCTAAGGCACGGTCCACTCCCTCGTGATTGCCCGGATTATTTCCAGGGTTTCCGACATTATTCCAATGACCCTGACCCTGTTGGTCCACCATGCGTGCCAGCAAATCTGCCATCCATTGTATGGCTGTAGTTACTTGATTATCAGTTTGGTGGTTCGCATTTTCATTTTCTACCCTTTCGTGTTCTGGTCTCCGTTCCCAGCCGGTCAAAGCCTCTGACTGACTGTGACACGTCACAATCCGGCTGGAATCTGGCCCGATTCTTGGCCAGATTCGAGGCAGAGGCAAAACTCTTTTTTTTTTTTTTAAACTGCAAGGCAATCCGGCCAAGTATCCGGCCAGAAACTGGCCGGATTTGGCCCCTTCCTCTTTTGTAAAATTTTTTCTTCTTTTTCCAAGTTTAAAAACTGCACTCCTCTGCTCGTCCAACAAAGATTTATATAAAAGGAAAACCCTCCTTTTTGGGGCGTTACAACACACATATCTAATTAGGCCACAATGCCCTTTCAATATGAGCCAATTGATAGCTCCAAAACCAATCACAATTAAGCTCCAATTCAAAACCCTAAAATTAATATTGACCTACACAAGTTGGAATTTCCAATGGCAAGTGAAACTAGCACATATAACATCAATGTTTCACATAACACAACTATCAAATGCTCTCAAAGATTGGATAGCATTTCCCTTTAATTTCCTTATTTTCCATCCTATAAATAACACCAATATTCACTTCAATTCAATCATAATTACACGTACAATTCATAGACTATAAAACACACCTAATTAGGGCCACAATACCCCTAAATCTTAACCAAGTAAGAGCTCAATAACCAACCATAAGAAAGCCCCAAATTTGAAACCCCAAAACTGAAATTTCCGCACAAATCTGAAATTTTTCGCAAACAACCACAACTAATATACAAGATCTTCATTTTACACCATATCAAACTACCATTCCATGTCCCAACAATAATCATCATATAAAATCAGAAAAATCACCAAATATTCTAAAATTTATCAAACTCTACTTTAAACCATAAAATCTTCCACAAAATTACATATTTAGCTACTATAAGTCACTAATTTACCATTATTAGAACAAAAAGGGAATTTTCCAAGTAGGGTACCTTATCAACTGAAGAAAGATAATAACTTAGAGCTTCTTCTCCAAATATCACTCCACCAAAAGCTTTAAACTTCCTTAATACACACTTGTATGGAGTAGTTTCCAAAACCATCGGTGAAATCTCAAGATTTGAGCAAAGATTGAAGCTAGCAAAAATGAAGAAATCTCTCTTATTTTTCCTCACTAGAGAGCCGGGCAAGAGGGAGCAAAAATGAAGACCAACTTCAGCCAAAACAAGATAAGAATGAAGGAAAAACAACCGGTCAAACCTGGCTGCTGACGTGACACGTCACAATTCGGCCAAAATCTGGCTAGATTGAAGGCAGTAGCGAACCATTTTTTTTCAAATTCCAACCACAATCCGGCCAAGAACTGGCCGGATATGCGGCCGAATTCGGTACAAAATTTTGCCTCCAAGAAATTTTCTTTTTTCCAAATTCAAATGACACACTCGTCCGTTTTTCCAACAAAGAGACCTACATTCTCACACAATTACACTTAATATACACAACACACACTTATATATATAAAATGGAACCCTCATTCCTGCGGTGCATCACACCCTTGGTGAAGATCTTGTGAAGAAACCATGGTGTAGAAAAGGCAACTTGGGAAATGGGGAAAGAAATGCAAAAGAAATATGTTGAGCGGTTTGTTAATCAAGGTGAGAATTTTAAGTACGAAATTCTTTTAAGGATGAGAGAGTGTGTGATGATCCAAAATTTATTTTTTATTTTATTTTATTTCTTTCAATACATTTTCTTTACTTTATTTATTGTCTTGATTTTCTAGATATTTTTATGAGTGAAGTTTTTAAATTATTTTTCTTCTATAAGTTAGTGCATGTTAAATTTTAGTGCATTATGGAAGTAGGTGTGGCAGCCCCACTTTCTCCTAAGGCGTACCAAAGGGATTAGTGGACTGCCTGTCCAGCTCTCGCCAGAACTAACGAGGCAATTAAATACAATCTAAAACGTTTCGGAAGGTAATAGCGTGCTCAAATGATTCAAAATTCACGAAATGAAAAATGGAAAAACGGAGCCGTACATGAACAGTGCCGGCCACGTCACAATCCGGCCGGATTCTTGGCCGGATTGTGGCCAGAGAGCAATTGGCTGGATACCAAAATTTCCAAGGCAATTCGGCCAGCAATCCAGCCAAGTGCTGGCCGGATTCGCCTGTGACCTTTCCCACCAAATTTTTTTTCTTTTACTGTTTGAAGTCCGAACCTATCCGAAATCCAATTAATCACCAACATTACATATATACCTTGAAATAAGACATTTACAAACCAAAATATCATACGAACATTACCAAACATGTTTATACACATATGCTTATACACATATAGTCTCAACTTTACAACTCAAAAGGGAATGTTGAGCCAAAATACATATAAGGTTTTCCCACCATCGAGGAGTTATACAAAAGAATAATATTAAACTAGCTCAACTTGACTTCAAAATCATAGTTTCCCCAAAAGGTACTCATATCCCTGTAAGGAAAATAAAGGTAATAGGGTAAGCTTTCACCCAATAAGGTACCATCACCCAAGTAACGAAGTTCATGTAAGCACAAAGCCAATCAATCCAAATTCATTCAATAAAGGTGTTAACTAACACCACATTTCAATAAAGATTGGTAAAAGGATACAGACGGCTCTCAAGAGCCCTTTTCCTCGCTTGCCATACTTGATCTCACCTCATTGACTCTCCGTCAATGTACAAAGAGTGACCAATATCGTAAACTCCACTTTTCTCCAATTTCCGTCCACCTCTCATACCCCTACCGAGTCCGAACTCCAATCAGTTCAGAAATGGTAATACTCGAGTATATCGGAATCAAGAGTCTCATACTCAAGGATTCCACATAAACAGTCCCCATGGCTTGTCAATTTTCTCGACCAATCCCTTGCCGGCTCGATTCAATTGACCACCAATGGGGTTGAGCTCAGTGTTAACAGTAAAGGTCGTTGGATACATGTCCAAACGACACCAGTTCAAGTATGTTCAAATGGCATTCAATTGATATAGTAAACGGTCACATAAGACATAGAGTGCGAGAGTGATAAAGTACACCCTCGTCTCAATCAATCTCAAATGTATACACAAGCATTCAAGTCATAAGTTTCAAGTA